TATTAACTATATTAATATTAGTGGATATTAATTTGGTTAAATATGAGGTTATGTTGGGGTATCTCCTACACTTTGATAACATATTGCAAAACAAATTTCACACTGCTGAGATGAACAGTTGTTGAGATATTTGCTTGTGAAGAAACAGGAAGTGATGTCAAAGGGGAATGCCTGCATGTAAACAGATCATTGCTACAACGACTAACAACACAGACGGTAGAGAAGAATCTGTTTCTTTACATTATTTTGAGTCAATATCGAAGAGAGACTAAAAAGAGTTGAAGTTTAAATGATACTGTTTTAATACACAAAGACCAAAATTTTTATTTTATTAATGAGTTCCCCTTTGATGTCACTTCCTGTCTTACTTTGGCTGAGACAAATTCAAAAGAAAATAGGCCATCTATGTAACAAAATTGGTAAAATCTTTTGTATTAGGGGATTTTTCTTAAGTATAAAGATGTTTTCTTTGACTTTTTGTATTTGAAGTATATGCATGTCACAGGCACTTTAAACTGATTGCTGATGTCTTTCCTCCCTGGTGTTGTGTTCAGACACCTGTTTGCTCCAGAGCAGCAAACATCTAAAACTCCTGCTTTGATACAAATGGTCATCCTGATGGTGGTCAACTAATCAACACATTTTATTATATATTTATTTAAATGTAAACAATTAGAGTGGATTTAAACATTGCTTCAGCCTTTCAGTCAAGTTATGTTAAATAAATTATCATTGTTCATCTGAGGCTGTATGTCTGATTTTCAAGACAAGATGAGTCCTTATTCTGTACGAATAAGTTATGTCTAGAAATAAATGAACATGTTCTCAGTGTTTTTTTAATAATCAATAATACTGGAAAAGGTTTTGACATAATGTCCCATGCTATAGAAGAAGGGTTATGTAAATACTACAAGAAAAAGCAGCTGTAAGTAAAGTCAGATCTGTTCAACAAGAAAAACCCAATGAGCTACAGTGAAATCAACGATTTGTTGCACATTAGCAATCACGCCAACGAGGCTGTTATTTTTCTCTTCATGATTGCAGAGAATGAGTCAGAGCTGAAATTTAAATTCAGCTTAAACCCAGCGCAGCTGTGCCGTCGTGCAGCAGCAGAGGCAGGAGGCGGTTCGCCGTCGTTGTGGTGGAGCTCGTTCTGGGGAGTCGTCCTCCAGCATCCATCAAACCTTGGCTCAATCAGCAGCACTCTTTACTTGGAGACAGAGGGAGGGCGGGACCCGTCACGTGGACAAGTGGGCAAACATGAGTCACGTTCAGCTAATATAAACAGCTCCGAAAGAGCTGCTCTTCTGCTGGACTGGTCCACTTCCAGAGACTCTCTCTCTCTCTCTCTCTCTCTCTCTCTCTCTCTCTCTCTCTCTCTCACACACACACACACACACACACTCAAGCATCACGCTCCTTGCTGCCTGAATTCCACTCAAGAATCTGGAGAAATATTTCTTATTTGGCTCCGCTCTCTCCTCCAATAAAAGCCCCCTTTATCGTGCTGCTGGTGCTTGCCCATATTTTTTCTAGAAGCAGGCAGAAGAAGCTCCAGCAGCTCTTCCTCCAGCCTGACGCCAAGGCACACAGAACCCTCTCTGACAGATGATTCATGCAGCCTGGCCTCCTGAGCGAGGCTGCTGATTGGTGGTTGGCTCGCACTGACCCAGGGAAACAGTGATGAGGTGTCGGGCACACTCACGCACCGCTCCAGGGAAGGACTACGGAGTCATGCGGCACACTCGTGCCTCCGACTCTCCTCCTGCACAGCTACAGAGCCGGGGACGCTTTGGAGCTGTGGCAACACCGCTCTCTGGTACAAACGTCTTCATCTGAGTCGTGTTAGAAGGAGTGTTTGGCTCAGGAGAAAGGGAGTGGCTAAGATTGATAAGGCAACCATCCACAGGAGCGTACACACCCTGACAAAAACCTAGAGATTATATCTGTATGACATTCCATTTAAATAAGAAACGAAAAGATACTGAAAACCATCACAACTTAAACTGTTTAAACATTTAACTCTTAGAATATACTTTTTGTCCCTGAATGATAAAACTGTTTAATAGATTTTAACATTATTTTGTCCATTATTTTAAAATTTCAATTTGGAGAATTTGGCTATTTTAGATTGCAGTTAGAGAGAAAAAATGCACCAACTGACAGAAGACAAATATGAAAACATTGCTTTAATCTGGTATCTACTAAGAAAAAGAAAAGCAGCAGTTCAAGGGAAACATTGGTACAATAAACATTCTTTGAAGGAATGCATATCCCCCACCGCCTTGCACGCTCAGGTTTTACGCAACAGTTCGTTGGCACTCAGAGTATGTGTTGTGGATAAATCTCAGCTACTAGCACACCAAATCTCAGCTCAATATCTGTAAAACTGAGCTGTAGCCATTTTTGTGTTTGCTAAGTTTAACTAGCTGCAGCAGCCATCTTTGATCAGGATGACTTTAAAAGTTTATCAGTTATAAAAATGTATATTATAATTTATTTCTGGGAGTTTTGTATAAATCCAACCAATGATTCATGAGATCTTCTGCTAACAGTCAAACAAATTCACACACGCACAAACACATGGTCACCCTCCTTTAACAGTGAGTGAGGTTTTATTGTAAAAAAAAAAAAAAAAGCCTTGAAGCTGGTTCGACTGATTAATTCTGCATCTTTTCTAAAGTGCCTGTGACATCAATTTTTTTTGTAATAAACATGAATGCATTTTTGGAAAGAGAACATTGATAAAATATTGCGAAACAAATTTCACGCCACTGAGATGAACAGTTGTTGAGATATTTGTGTGTAAAGAAACAGGAAGTGATGTCAAAGGGGAATGTCTGCATGTAAACAGAGCGATGTTACAACAGCTAACAACAGAGACTGTGGGAAAGAATCCGATGTTTTTTTTAGATTATTTTGAGTTTCTATCAAAGAGAGATGAAGAGGAGTTAAAGTTTTAATAATAGTGTTTTAATAAACAAAGACCAGCGAGTTTATTTTATTAAAGAGTTGCACTTTGATGTCACTTCCTGTTTCACTTGGCTGAGCCAAATTCAAAAGAAAATAGGCCAGTTATGAGACAAAATGTGTAAAATCATTTGTATTATGCCAATTTTCTTAAAAATAAAGCTGTTTTATTTGACTTTTTGTATTTGAAGGATAGGCACGTCATGGGTACTTTAACCTTCCTGCTGCCCTTGGGTCAAAATGACACTTTTGATCATTTTTGACTCAAGACCAGAAGGGTTAAATAAGCTGTGAGGATTTTTACTATTTCCTAATTAGTCGATTCTTCAACTATGACCTTAGGGAGCAGAAATGTTACAATATTTAAGCAAGAACCTGATAAATATTTCCTACAGTAGATGTGTTGAGGACAGAGTAGCTGAGCATGCAGATGTCGTGTCCTGTCATCACGTCCCTCAGCAGACTGACACAGTGTTACTACAGCCCAGCCGTGACGTAACACATCCTGCCAGTGTCTCCTGCACTGCCCCACATCACGACATCAGGACACAAGAAAACTCCTCGCAGTCACAAACCTATCAGCACAGATCTCACAGGACGGGGGGTGTGGGGTTGCTTCTGGAGAAAACACTGAGAACAAACCCCTCCTGAGAGAAGCTTCCAGGACGCTGCAGCACTCTCACAGCYGTCATCTATTATTAACCCGCATGCAGCTTTATGACATGTGTGTCCCAGACCATGAATCAGAGAGTCATCACGGTTATTTATAGCCACGAACAGAACATGCTTCAGTGTTTTCCTCACTAGACCGTTCGGTGTTTTAATAATTAATGTGAAAACAAAAGTAAAAGCTTACCCATTGTAGGACCTTTATGAATCCCAGCGGCTGTTTGATCACCGTGAACTGCCCTTGGGCCACCAGCTGTCAACACAACAAACCTCAGGTAAACAAGACGTTTATTTCATGTTTTGGTACAGTTGTTTGTTTTTAGGTCCTGTTTGACCACTCAAACCTAACTAGGCCTTACAGGCTTCTGTGGAAACGTCATGGAGAATTAACATCTTACCTGTCATAGATAGGGCTTCGGTCTGAAGAAATAGAGGTTAAATCTAATTGATGAGCTAATAGCTCGTCTTGGAGCAGTTAGGAACAAAGTGGATTGCTGCTGTCTCTAAATTTTTCATTTATTTGTGGAGATTCTGTTTCAAAAACATTTGCGCTGCTGTCAATTCAGCCAGTCACTGTAATGTAGGGGTTAAAGTTAAAGTTTGGGGTTGTTTTTTCACAGCTAAGTCTGTTTTATGTCAACTTAATCAATAAGCTTAAGACAGCTCTTCCATCCTAAAACAACCACAATCTGCAGAATTTCAGCTTTTTTTTGCAGTTATTGTTAGTGAAACTTTTATAACACCATGAGAAGTAGGGGCACAGAGGGTGCTGAAGCACTTGATGGCAGCCAGAAGGCAGGCATGTTCAAATTCAAAGTTAAAAATGATTAAACAAAATTCTATTAAAATCAATTTTGTTAGTGCTGCTTTTTTTAAAGGCGCAGACTAGCATTATGTTATGGTTACAATGTTTTGAATGCTGTCCCAAATACATTTTTAATGTCTATATTCAGATATGACAACATGTCATGGCTTGAGTTTGGTTTTATACATTTATAGTTTTATACATTTTTACTTTATACAGTCAAAAACTAGGGATGCACCGATATGAAAATTTCAGCCGATATCGATATCCGATATAATTATTGGTGTCATGGCCGATAACCGATATAACACAAACATACAAATTATATTATACATGTACACACAAACACACTTGGGTCTTTTTTTTGATACTGTAAATAAACAACCAGACCTCTGACATGGCTCTACTTCAGTTAATCCTGGCTGTGCAGCGTCAATATCATTATGATTAAACAGATGCGGCTCAGCCAAACATCTCCCCTCCCAAAACAGAAACACAAAGTTAAAAAGTGGGAAATTAATATCGGCCCCATTTTACATATCGGCCGATACCGATATCAATACCGATATATCGTGCATCCCGATCAAAAGCTGAGCATGCTGGGTCATTAAAGCTCACAGCTTCAGCTGAAGCACGTTCACTTCATCACGTTTCATATAATCTGGCAGAAATGTGAAATGAATGCCTGAAGTGTCTCAGTGCTACAGCTAACTGCCAGTGCAAATAACAGAAAAACTGTATTCAAATGACAGTGAAGTGTAAAACTGAAGTCTACAGTGCGAACATGACATTTTCAGACTGGAGCAGTATAAATCAGGCGGTGCTCCTCTCTGGTCTGTGTTCGAACCACTGGGCTCAGGTTCATCACTGCTCCGAGCTGAGGTCGTTCAAGGAGCTGTCCAACAGATAAAATGTCTGAAATGTCCCTTTAAGCCTCAGAACGAGCAGACCCTGTGCTGCTGGCAGCTGCAGGAGCGTTTTTTTTTTTTTTTTTAACCAGAGCAGCAAATCTGCCGGAGAATAAAAAAATCATAATAATAATAAAATAAATCAGATTCTGCCTCCTCAGCTCCTGAGACGCTGCAGGTGAATATTTTCCTGTCCTGTTGTTGGAGCTGCTGCCGGCTTCCCAATCAGACAAAGCTGATTATCTGTCTGCCTCGGTCGCCCGCCAGAGC